ACACACAAAAAAAAAAAAGTTAAAAATGAGTAGAGAATGAATGAATGGATTGGAACTATTACCTTTTTATTATATATCTTTATTATATTTAAGTGTAAAAAAAACTTGTGTATTACCATTGTAAACAGCTAGGAATGAATAAGATTTGAGAATTTTATATAATATAGTATACTAGAAAGAGAGCTTAGTAATGACCTGGGGCTAGGGGGAATGGGATGTCAAGGAAGGCTGCCTGGCAAGGAATGACCAAGGGATGGAGGAATTTGTGTTGGATTTGGGATGGCTCAGAGATGACTATGATAAAGGGACAAAGGATATTTCAGGTTTCAGAAGGAATGAGAAGATGGATGCCATGTAGACATCAGAAATAATAAGGAAGACCACCTAAGCCTATGTGCTTAATTCCATGTCCGCCATGATTTTCTTCTTCAAGGACCTCAAACTTAGTCCCTAGTCTAATGTCCTAGTCCCTAGGTCTGATGTCACAAACTTTCTCAAACTGTAAAAAGTCTTTGGTCTCTAGTTACTTGGCAGAGATGGAGATGAGCTTGGGGTTTGTGTGTGCACAAGAGCACTGGTATGTTGGGGAAGAAAACTAGAAACCAGACGACCTTGCCATCTAGGAAGTAACCGTGCAGCTGAGAAGTAACATGTGTTCTACATCAAGAGGAACTCCCTATGCTTGGCTGTTCTTTATTATTCCTGAAGTGATAGGAGGCCGCTGTAAATAGTTGACTTGTAATTTAAAGCATGTCACTTTTTATTTAGTAATTATGACCCTCATTACTTGAGTATCTACAGGGAGCCAGCTCCTGATCAGTATTGACATTAATGGCCTCATATCATCTCTTCTAGGACTCTGCAGGGTCAGCTTCATTGCCACTTTATAGGAGAAAGACCTGAGGTTTTTACCTGCACCCAGGGTCACACAGCTAGTAAGTGCTGGAGCTAGTATTCTACAGGGTGTTCATGGTACCACTTTTGTGGTGCATTTCTTGCAAAAAGTCAAAGATTGGTCATAATAAAGCCTACAGTTTGCCAGGATCTAAAAATAGCTACCAGACTTTGGAACTGGAACATACCACTCTCCAGCTATCCCCTACTTTGTTCACCTCCTGGCTGGAAAGAGTTGTCATTTCCAGCTCATGGACTATTTTAGCGTTCAAGAGCCATTTTATGGTACCTGATGAAAATGGCTGGCAGCTACCCCAAGCCTCTGGAAGTCTTCCTACTTTTTGGCTGAGTAAATTGTGTAATATTTTTTCCACTCCTAACCCAAATCTTGTCTTCAGCTTTCATTCATTCTACTCAGAAATTCCCTGAATTACAGATGGATTTCCCTTCTGCTGGGTGTTTGAAGTTTGACGTTTATTGATTACAAATCAATTGTGTTCCCTTTCACTATGTTTTTAATAGGCATTACTCTGAATCAGATTCTACATATGTGACTGCTTACAGTTCCACTTCTAACACAGTCTTCATGGTCTTGCCTGTTTGTCGACTGATTTTTGCTTTTTACTTAATTGATATATCTTCACTTAGAAAGTGTAGAAAATAAATGTAGAGATTTAGGAAGCTGAAAATAAGAATCCCACCATCCAGCAGTGTAACCCCAGCTAACATTTTGTGGTATTTTAAATTGGGATCACCCTTCTCTTACTTAACTCTGCATGTACAAGTTTTCACTTACCATTAAGCTTTTCTCAAAATAAATAGATATTTATATTGCGGTACTAGGGTTTGAACTCAGAGCTTACATCTTGAGCCACTTCAGTCCTTTTTTGTGATGGATTTTTTTGAGATAGGGTCTCTCAAACTATTTGCCCAGGCTGGCTTTGAACCTCAGTCCTCCTGATCTCTGCCTCCTGAGTAGCTAGGATTATAGGCAGTCCCAGCTTATTTTTTAAATTTTTATTAGCATATTATTGTTGTACTGGGGGTACACTGTGACATTTACAAAAGGGCTTACAATATATCTTAGTTAAATTCACCCCCTCCATCATTCTCCTTTATCCCTCCTCCTTCTCCCACTCTTAGAATGGTTTCAGCATGTCTCATTTTTCCATTTTCATACATGAATACATATTTCTACTATTCCTCCTTCACTCTTTCCTTATATACTCTCCCCTCCCATTGGTACAAACCCCCACACAGGACCTGTTTTTACCTTCTTGTCCTTCATTTTTGAAAAATGACTGTTTGTTTGTTTAAGATAGCTATACAGGGAGTTTCATTATTACAATTCCATGTATATATGTATTTTATCCTGAACTGGTTCATCCCCTCCATTTTTCTCTCCTTTCCACCTTAGTCTCCTTGTTATGGTGAATTCAACAGGTTTAATTCTATATTCATTCTTATATAGAAAGTACATCAGCCGTATTCACCTTCTTTACTTCCTTCTTTTACGCTTCCCCTCCTATAGCATGACCTATTTTTCATTCTTGTCCTTCATTGTGTAGGTGTCTGTTCATTGTTCAATGGGATTTTTACCTTGGCCTTATACCTGTACATGCATTGTGCTTAAGTCAATCTAACCCCTCTATGGCACTTCCTTGCCCTTTTCTCCCATCCTATGGTGTTTAACAGTTTTCATTTTTGGCAGTACTAGGGATTGAATTCAAGGCCTCATGCTTATTAGGCAGGTGTTCTACTATTTGAGCCACTCTGCCAGCCCTCAAAAGAAATATTTTTTAAACAACCATGTAATAATTCCATTTTATGATTACAGTATAATTTATTTAATCCCCATTGTTGGTACTTCGGGCTGTTTCCAGATCTGTGCTTTTATAAATAACACTGTCCTATTCACAGTGTTTCTCCCCTATAAGTTATTCTAATGAGGATCCTTCAAAGAACTATTTGGCCCAAGTAGTTCAAAAACGTGTCTGCTGTTTGCTAATGAATAAAAGCCTCCAGTACTCTTCCCTTAGCTGTGATTTTGCTTTCCAGTTCAGTTATCCATGGTCAACTGTGACCTGAAATTATTAAATGGAAAATTCCAAGAATAAACAGTTTATAAGCTTTAAATAACTCGAATTGTTATACTGGTTCTATTTTTTATTACTTATTGTTAATCTCTTACCATGTCTCATAAATTAAACTTTGTCATAGGTACGTCTGAATAGGAAAAAAACATAGTATATATTGGGTTCAGTATACTGTAGTTTCCAACACCCCCCCGGGGGCCTTGGAACATATCCCATGGACCAAGAGGGCCTGCTATATACAAGCAAATGCTAATAGTAGCAGTGCAATTAATAGTCTTAGCAGTGATAGGTAACAATCATCTCTTGCTAGCTGAGTACCAGGCATTTGGCTAAGCTTTTGACATACTTTATCTTAGCTAATCCTCACTACAACTCTCTGAGTCCTTATTTTGACCCTTTCCAGATGAGGAAATTGAGATCCAAAGAGATAAGCTCTTCCAAGGTCCCTTGGCCATTGCAGTGATTTGAAGCCCTTTGTTTTAACTGCAGAGCCTTTGTTATTAACTCAGATCTGTGTTTTGGAGTTGAACAAGTGGACTTCATTCTATTCCAACACTTATCTTGGGCCAGTCACTTAATCCTCAGGTTCTTCTATTAAAAGAAGAACCTGCCCAGTGTCTCCCCAGAATTAGCACAAGAGTCAAATGTGATATGGCCACACAACAGGGAAGTGTTATTTCTCTCTTCAGGCTAATTGTACTAATCAAATCTTGTAGGAGACTCCTCCAGGGTGTTGGGTGAGAACTTATTCTGATCCTAGCCATGGTCACTGTACATTATGGCTAATTCACTGCAGTGGCCACATAGGAATGTGTTTTTCTCTTGCAGTTCCGTCCTAACCTCTAATCCATTTAATAATGAACCATCTGCTACCAAATAGTAGCATAGTCAGGATGGTAAGTGAATTTGCCTGGTCTAAACTCTTTAGTAGAGCATGTTATTTTTGGCTGTGGAGACCTTCTGTTTTGGGGAAAGGATGAGGGAGCACCCTGCTGAACAGGCAGCACTAACAAATCAGATCTGGCCCTCCATGCCTACCTGCTGAGCTTACATTTCCTCTGAGACATGTAAAGGGGCCCCTCTTCCACCTGACAGACAGGCCCCTTTGTATCTGCAGCATCTCCTCCACATGCCCAGCCAGGGCATAAACATGGGCTCCCACTTCCTAAATCTGCAGTGTCTGGTTCATGGCCATTGTTGTTTTAGCACAGTAGTTATGAGCTTTGGGTTTTCAATTCATTTGCTAGGCCAGATTCCCTCATGGAAACTTCTTGCTCATCCTAGAACGTTTTTCAGTTCAGTTGCAAAATCTCCACACCCTGGCAGATCTATGTATGTTTCTTTTTTTGTTGCTGCTGTTTTGTTTTTTTAAGGGGGGTATTGGGGTTTGAACTCAGGGCCCTGCACTTTCTAGATAGGCACTCTACCCCTTGAGCCATGCCCCTAGCCCTTTTTGCTTTCGTTATTTTTCTAACAAGAATCTTACATTTTTGCTCAGGCTGGCCTGGACCACAATCCTCCTATGTATATCTCCCCTGTAGCTGGTAGGACAGGTATATGCCACCACACCTAGCTGATTGGTTGAAATGGGGTCTCAAGAACCTTTTGCCAGGACTGGCCTTGAACCTCAATCCTCCTGATGTCCATCTGGAATCACAGGTGTAAGCCACCACACCTAGCATGTATTTCTGTTTTTATGTGGTCCCTCCCAAGACTGTGTCCCTCTCCTCCAGGTGCGCCTTTTTCCTCCTTCCGGGGGGCCAGTGTCTCTCACCTTAGGGCCACTGGCAATGTCTGGAGATGTTTAGTTTGACAAACTGGGGTGAGTGTGCTACTGGTATCCAGTACCCACTGACTGGAAGCCATCGATGTTGCTAAACATCTCACAGTGCACAGACCCTCCCGATAAAGGGTTTTCTGGTTCAAATGTTAGTGATGACAAGGTTGAGAAAGTTCCATAGACTGAGACTGAGAAGGAGCGTGAAACTCCATTTTGGCATTTCTGCCACACCGCATGAGGGCAGACCTGAAACATCATTTGAGTTCCCCGTGGCCACCTGGCTTTAATTTCTAAAACACCATTCCCTTTGGTAAAGTTTCACCTTCTCTGAGCCTCAGGTTCCCACATCTGTAAAATGAGAGTGAGAACCCTTACCTCTCGGGTAAGCAGAGTTCTAAGGCTCCCCTCCAGTGCCTGGCATACGGCAGCTCACCTTTGATTTCTAAGTTGTAGATGCCCTCCTTTGTTCCACATGGTACAAATCAAAATCAAGCAGAGAGTGGGCTGGCTGGGTAGTCATGAGGACACTGGAAGGGCTAAGATGGCCTCCTCTTTCAAGAAGCATCCTTGTCCTTGGGGTTTTTCTTCTAGCAATTGTCACATGTTCCTCCTCCATCCTAATTCTATCATATAATTATGTCCTGTTGTGTGGATGAGTGGTTGGGGTGTAGCCCATGGTGTGTCATCAGAGTTGTTGTGAACACCTGCCTGTGTCCCAGGTGCTGTCCTGGGATAAGCCCAGTGTCCACTTCCTTTCCCCATGGCCAGCCAGCTGCTAACCACACTCCTGACCAGCATTCTTTAGTTCTTTTTTCAGATTTTTCCTTCCAATATCCATCCCCATCTGAGAGGAGTAAGAAAAACCAAAATGTTTGGTTTAATCCAGTGTAACTCAAGGTGTAAATCTGAAGTTTGAGTGGTCAAAGATCAGTCATTATTCCTAAAACCCAGACAAATGCCTTCTATTTCTTTAACTACATTTCCATTCCTAGAAGACGAATGCTGGATCTCCTCTCGTTGAAGTCAGTGCATGACTCTGGGCATCCAGCAGGTGCTTACCTATAGTAGAAAGCACCCAGGCTCTGAGAAGAAACAGATCTGATTTAGATCCTGCCTGGCAAGTGCCTTAGCCTCCTTCAGCCTCAGTTTCCTCACTGGTAAAATGAGAACAAACCCTCCCCTTGCAGGGTGGATGTGAGGATTGGAGCGCTTGAATCCAAAAGTCTAAGCACAGGCAGGCACAGAAGGAAACCTCAGTGATAGTCTCCATAATGCCCGAGCCCAGAAATCACTAAGAAAGCACAAAATGAGGAATTCTTAGTGATGGTGCTCGCCAAGTATAGCTCACCTCACTCACTTTCCCCAAGCAGCAACAAAAGAAAATCTAACTCTCCAGGAAATGTTTCAATAAATACATAAAAATATGCTCAGACCAGGTGCCAGGTGCTCATGACTATAATCCTAGCTACTCAGGAGGCAGAAATCAGAAGGATAGTGGTTCAAAGCCAGCCCCATGCAAATAGTTCTTGAGACCCTATCTCGAAAAAACCCAACACAAAACAGGGCTGGCAGAGTGGCTCAAGTGGTATTGGAATTCAAGTATGAGGGTTTTGCCTGCAGATTTATAATTACCTTGTTGATGAGAGTTGAATAAAGTATGCTATCCTAAACCCATTTGGGAAATGTACAAAAAGCCTATTTGAAGATCACTTTGGCAACACATGGCCAACATTAAAATGGTGATGCTGACCTTGCCTAGCATGCATGAGCTCTGGGGTTCAATCCCCAGCAATGCAAATAAACACATAAATAAAATGTTGACACTTCTTAGACTAAGGAATTGTACTTCCAGAACCTACCTTATAGAAATACCAGCACAAACACATGAAGGATATTCATCAGAGACACTTTTTGTAATAGCCAGGTGCTGGAAATGATTTCAATGTCCATCAATTAGGAGTTAATGAAGTTCACCCAGTCCACCCAGACCTTAGGGCACCAACTGCAGCCATTGAAAAGGAGTGACGGGAGGTGACGGATGTTTCAGCCTGAGGAGGAAGAAGAAGTTGTGTAACATTGTGAATGTTCTAGATGCTACTGCCTTGCTCATTTTAAAGATGGGTAGCTTATCTTATATGAGTTTCAACTCAAGTATTTTTTAAAGAGTAAGTCTAACAGGCTAACACTGAAAGATATTGCTGAGTGAAAAGAAAAAACTTTGTTTTCTGAGAATGTTAATTAGTGCATAGAAAAAGTTTGGAAAAATCTAGAACCAACTCGACAGTAGTGCTTCTAAGAGGTGAGTTTGGGCAAAGGAGAGAATTTGTACTTAATATTATATACTTTTACAATGCCTGTAATTTTAAAGCTGGAATAAATTACTTTCATACTGGTGGGGGAAGTCCAAAATTTGTCAGGGACTGAAAATGTAATGAGATGGGCAATTGCTTCTTTCAAGTGAAAGTGGAAAGTGTGTTTCATTTTGAATTTTATTTTTTGTGTGTGTTCCTTTCTTTCTGCTCTTTAATTCCTGCCTCTGCTGCCAGCAGAACCGCAAAGGGGGGTTAGTTGATGACTCACTAGGCTTGTTTTGACCTTTCAGTGACTATGGCTAATTGCTTCTTAGTGCAGGCCATTTGTACCACTTATTCTAGTTACTGTTTAGAAGGGACTGTTTTTGGAGACTGTAAGGATCTGTGAGATACCATTAGTGAACCACGTATTTGGTACAAATGCTTTCTTGATCTTCTGTACCAAGCTGGTCCTATACTCATGAGCCTGTCACTGAGCCCGGGAGCTCAACAGAACCCTGCGCTGGTCTGAGGAGTTCGTGTTGCTACTTGCCAGCACAGCTAAGCTTCCTGCTTCCAGAAGGCTCTGATAACACACAGGCCCCTTGGAAGTTTCCTCTTACATTTTTTACTTATTCATTGTTCTTAGGTTATAAAAAAATACATAAAGTAAACCAGAAATTACCTATAATGTCATGTGGGGGGAAAAAAACCCCAAGAGAATCATATGGCATTGCCTTTCTATCTTTGCTTGAGAACCCTTTTTGCATAACTGTACAGTGTTCACTTACAGATTTTAATCCTAAGTCACGTAGAAAGAATTTGTAAGTGTTAAATTATCTCAGAATTGTCTTTATGGGTAGATAATAGTCTGTCCATCAGGTAATTATAACTTATTTAACAATGTTCTTATACCGAATGGTTCTCTTAAAAATACTCTCTTAGTTGGGCAGGGTGGTGCATGCCTGGCTACTTGAGAGGTTGAGGCAGGAGGATTGCTTGTGCCACAAGTTTGGGGCCATTCTAGGCAACATAGCAATACCTCGTATTTAAAAAAAAAAAAAATCCGACTGGAGGTGTGGCTCAAGCAGTAGAGTGCCTGCTTTGCAAGCACAAAGCCCTGAGTTCAAAACCCAGTCACTCTAAAAAAAAAAAAAGAAAAAAAATTCTCCTTAAATCCTACTTTATTGAAAGTTATTGTCATCTGTCAAAATAACTGGGAATGTCTTAGTGATGTCGTCTCATAGGTCACAGGCAAAACCATACCCCAGATAAATAAATACAGTAAAATGTGATCAGTGCCACATCAAAGGTGTGTCCACTTGTTCAGAAAGAAGAGGAAGGAAGAACATTGATAAGGCTACCAAAAGGAGGTAGTATTTGAGTAGACAGTTAGACAGTTCTAAAATGTAATAAATGCCTTCCTACAAGCAGGAAACTCGAGGGATGGCAAAGCATGGCATGTTAGGGGATGGCAGTTAGCCCAGTATGACTGAAGAGTAGGAGGGCTGTGGCTGAGTGGCAGGATGTATCATAAACATGTAGCCTGTGGTCAGATTATAAGAGGCCTTGTGTGCCAAGCTGAGGATTTGGAACTTCACACTGCAGGCCAGAGGGAGTGGTACCAAAAAACACTTGTGAAATAAAGAATATGGGTTTTGAACACAGGAATACCTCCTTGCCTTGGGAAAGTTTCCAGTGAACATGCTGAAATCTTATAGGGTGAAGGCTAAAGGTGATTCTTTTACCTTCCTTCCTGATGCTTTGTATTTGTCTTGAAAAATCATCATGGTCATGTGGCATATGTCAGCCACAAGTGGACTTGAGGTGGTGAAACTGGAGCCTCCTTGGAAAAGAAGAAATTGTCAGGAATAGGTACCACCTACTACCAGGTGGTATTTAGCTTGTATGGTGGTTGGGACTCTGAGCTGACAGAACCTTGGCTGAGATAATTGGAAGCACAAAAGGGGAAACCAAAATCTGTAAGGGTGGCTCTGCTGGCTTCTGGTACAGTGGGATCCAGGAGCTCAAACAGGAAAGCTTGACAAAGTTTGTTGCCTTCCTTCTCTGTCAGTCAGTCTCTCCATCCTTCACTCTGAGTCCCTTTCTTCTCTCCTGTGACAAATAGATTCTTCGTAATCGGGGAGAGTTGCCACAAGAAGCTTCTATTATGTTATCTACTGAACTCACAATCCCAGAAGACTAGATACTTCCCTTTTTCCCTCATAAATCATGTAGCAAATTTTGGGGGAATCAGCACCCTGAACCAGGGTGGTAGAATTGTCTTACAGGTTAGGTCTGGAGAAGCCCACCCAAACTATGAACAAGGGGATACCTAAGGACAATCAGTCCTATTCTTAGATGGAGGGAGAATATACACACTGGCCCATGTTTTGGTTATTTTTTAATGGCCATCCACCACTATCCCTTGTCCTGAAGAGAAGAGATTTCCCCTGGAAACAAATAGAGCTCAGTGCTTATCAGAGAGCTGCCCTCCTGTGCAAAGCCTGACCATCCATGTTCTACTTCTCTGGTACACTTTGTGTCCAGGTAGCACAGATGCAACGATGCTCCCAGCACGTGTGTGATGGGTGCTCCCTGTCCAATTTTCCTCAGCACATAGACTCAAGACAATGTCCTGTTTCCTAAAGGTCTTGTGACCATGTCCTCTCTTTCTTGTGAATGTATGATTTATGTTCTGTCAGAAGGACAGGAAGCCGCTCAAAGGATCCACCCAGTCCTGCTGCTGACACTGTGATGGTTTGTTTTCCTCATTGTTTAGCGGTCCATTAGCTTCCGCAGCGAGAGCCGCCCTGACATCCTGGCCCCCCGACCCTGGTCCAGAAATGCCACCTCTTCAAGCACAAAGCGGAGAGACAGTAAGCTGTGGAGTGAGACCTTCGATGTGTGTGTCAATCAGATGCTTACGTCCAAGGAGATCAAGCGTCAGGAGGTAGGTTTGGGGCCCATCTTGCTGGCAGACATGGCCAGCAAGAAAGGTGCCCTGCAGGCAAGAGCCAGGCAGGGCTGCCTGGTCTCCTGATCAGTTCTTCATTGCACAGGGAGGAGGACAATCAGGGGTGGAAGGAACTGAGAAACCAGCAGCCAGCTGGGTGGGTGTGGCCCCTACTGTAAAAAGAAACTGGTGTGAGGGCTGCGGTGGCTCAACTGATAGGGCGTTTGCCAGTAAGAGTGAGGCCCCAAGTTTAATCCCCAGTACCACCAAAAGCCAATGTGAAAGCCAAGTGTCTAGTTAGGATTCTGAAGTTCACAAAAACAACCATTTTAGTTACATTTTGGTAGCAACTTCTAGAATATTTAAAAATATTCAGCTAATGGAACTTCAGCTTAACTTTGTAAAGGAAAAACATCTTTTCCATGGAGTACATACAGTTCACTTCATTCCCTGTAAATTTTCTGTATCTATAGTCCTAAGTAGTTGTGATGACATTACCCTCGGCGGAAGGTTTATTATGGGCTGTGTTGGGTGAAGGACTTCACGTGTGCGTCCAATAGCAAGAATCTTGGAGTCTGTATTTTTTGTGGAGAACCTGACATTGGCAAAAGGGTTACTTGAAAAATTTCCAGATTCTTTTCTAGGAATTTACTTGTACTTGGGTAAAAAGATAGGTGCGAGATTGTTCACTGCAGTAATTTTTCTAGGAGTACTGATTGAGAAAGAACCTGAACATCTATTATTAGGAAATGGTTTAATTCCATGGACTACTGCACAGCTATAGAAACACAAGTGCCCAAATTTGCATTTGGCTAAGTAGATAAAGCAAGGCACAAAACAGGGTATAGAGCATGTTGCCATGTATATAAAAAATAGAAAATGAATGTGTGTGCACGTATGTATTCTTTGTAGAACCATAAGTTGTTTCTGAGATACCAAGGGAACTAGCAATAGTGTTGCCTCCTGGGGTGGCTGGAAGAAGATGAAAAGGGAAAGTTTTTACCATGTGTCCAACTAGACACTATAAATTTTTTATACCATGTAAACTTATCTATTCAACAATGAATGAATCAATAAAGCCTTTAAAAAATAAGACATGTAGGCTGGCCATGGTGATGCACATCTGCAATCCCAGCAATTCAAGAGACTGTAGGTAGGAAGATCATGGTACCAGGCCAGCCCTGGACAAAAGCACAAGACCCTATGTGGAAATTAATTAAAGGAGAAAGGGCTGGGGGCATGCTCAAGTGGTAGAGCACTTGCCTAACAAGCATGAGGCCCTGAGTTCAAGTCCCTGTACTGCCATAATAGTAAAAGTAATAATAATAAAAATAGTAATACATGGACCCAAAAAACTCCTGTGAAGAAGTATGGCAAAATCTTAGTGGTTAGTGTGATACAGTGAATTATATATTGGTTATTTATCTTATTTCCCGGCACACAACTCCTCATATCTTTGAAAAAACATTTTGTATGCAAATGGGCTGACCGATGGCTGTCACCAGTGGCTTCATGTGGGACCCACTAGGATTAGAGACAAGCAGGATTAGAGGGGTGAGACTTTCAGCCCCAGTCCCTAAACTCTGGGGAGGAGAGTGGGGCGGAAGGTTAAGTTGATAACCAGTGCCCCGATGATTTAATCAGTCATGCTGGTATAATGAAGTCTTCATAAAAATCCAGAAGGACAAAGTTTGGAAAGCTTTTTTCCAGCTAGTTGAACACATGGAGGTTCTTGGAGGATGGTGCCCCTAGAGAGAGAATGGATGCCCCTTTCCTGTGTCTTCCCCTATTCACCTGGTGTTCATCTGTAGCCTTTAAGATAAACCAGTAAATGTTAAGTGTTGTTCTGTGAGCCCTAGAAAATTAAACCTAGAGAGGGGGCACGGGGACCCTGAGGTATAACCAGTTGATGAAAAGCACAGGTAAAACAAACAAACTTGACTTTTTTTTTTTTTTTTTTTTGGCAGTACTGGATTTTGAACTTAAGGCCTCACACTTGTTAGGTGGTCTACCACTTGAGCCATGTGTCAACCCTACAACCTGGGCTTTCAGTTGACATCTGAAGGAGGTGTTGTCTTGGAGACTGACCCTCACTTGTGGATCTGATGCTATCTCTAGGTAAATAGCATCAGAACTGAATTGAATTAAACCAGGTGGCGGGGGGCCTGGCAGAGTGGCTCAAGTGGTAGAGTGCCTGCCTAGCAAGCTTAAAGTCCTGAGTTGGAAGCCCTGAGTTCAAACCCCTGTACCACCAATGGTATCGGTGATGTCCACTGCAGAATTGCTTGCTTGCTTGATGTGTGGGGTAAAGCCCTACATACTGGGTCTTAGAAATGATCTGGGTGTGAGAATGTAGGAGAAACTGAGGCTTATTGTTCCTATATCCTCAGAGTTAACAAGGTGCTATTAAATGAGTTACTTAAATTTTTCTTCTTTATGCTTTCCTGTATTTTCCCAAGTGTACACTGTTGTATACATATATAATGTGTAAAATCTGACAGTGAGGGGAAAAAAGAAGTGAAGGAGGACAGAAGAAAGGAAGGAAAGGAAAGGATTCTGCAGATGAGGAAATGGTTAGGGCATAGTGAGCACAGGGTCACACCTGGTAAGTTACAGTCAGGATTTGAACCTGAATCCTAGCCTACGCCAAAGCCCATGCTGTATTTCCTAGTGTGGAGTTCTGTGGTTTCCTCTCCTGGGGGCCACATTTGGTCAGTTTACGTAGTGAGCTCTAGTAAAACAGATGGAGGAGGAAAGCTGAGGTAGACCCACAAAAAGGGTAGTGAAGAATTTTGAGCCAATCCAATTTTTCCTGGTTTTGATAAGATGCTGTAGTCATGTAAGATACCAACATTGGGTACAGTTGGATGATGGGTACACAGGGCCTCTCTGTACTAGTTTTGCACCTTTGCACGTGACTCTATAATTATTTCAAATTAGAAAGGTAAATAAAATAGAGGCCATGACATGAGGTTTTCCTGAGCCTGGGAAGGGGTGGGCATGCACAGCCCTCCAGCTGTGCATTCTTTAGGAATACCTTTTAAATCTTTAAGCAGATTTGTAGCTTTGAGTGTTAGAACCGGCAGCATCTGAATTTGGTCACATAAATGGAGAATTCAATAAATCTATTTTATCTTTTCTTACAGGCAATTTTTGAGCTTTCTCAAGGAGAAGAAGACTTGATAGAAGACTTGAAATTAGCAAAAAAGGTAAACTAAAATCCAGTCATTTGAATCACCTCGTGTTGTTTTTCCTGTGAGTAATTTCACAATCCTACATTGATGCTCTAGGAGCAACCTCTTCCTGCCTAAGACAGGTCATCAGAAATTGAGAAGCCTGCAACCACAAACCAAGCAGTACAGAAATAGCCCTGGGCAAAAAGGCAGAGCAGCTCTGTGCATCTGGCCCCTGTAAGGGGTAACCTCTCTGAGTCTCTGGTGCGCCTCAAAGACTCCATCAGTTTAAATCAGAAAGTGCCCATGCATGCCAGGCTTTATGTGTATTTCATCATCCTAAAAGTCTCACATTCAGGGCTTCTTTGTCCGTGAGAGAAAATAGATGTCTGAACCTGTAACTGTGTCTTATAAATAAAGGCATTTGAATCTTGGAAGTGGTGAACCAAGCAATTATACTGTCGTAAGTCAGGGTCTTTTATATGGAAACTGGTTTTTTGGTTGGTTTTTGTTTCTGTTTTTGTTTTTTTGGTTGATTTGTTTAGTGCTGGGGATCAAACCCAGGACATTGAACATGCTAAGCATGCACTCTATCACTGAGCTCAACCCCAGCTGGAAGCTTGTTTCTTAATCAACATTGTGTGGGAGGAAGAGAAGGAAACCTATGCCTTGTATCATTTATATTCTTGATAACAAATCTTTCTCCAAAAACCTTTCCATTCCAATGACCCCCATAGTTTGGAAGCTCAATCCAGGCTCCTCCATCGATACAGCCTCCTCAGAGAATCCCAAGATTGGAAGGATGCTTCCCTTCTTTGAAGGGTCCTTAGTCCAACTTTCTGCTAATAGGAAGCCCACCTCTAGCGTTCCTGGATGGCCATCCAGCTTCCATTAGATGGAGGCAAGAAACTGAGCTTTAGGTAGGGCTGGAGGGAGCAGGAAATCAGAGAGGACCAGGAAGGCATTTGACTCTCAGAGACATCATACTGGCCATATTTCCAGCTTCCCTTCCTGCATCAAGATCCCCAAATGCATGCTGGGAGTGTAGCTCAGTAATAGAGCTCTTGCCTAGCATACAAAAGATCCTGAGTTCAGTCCAAGACTCAGGGAAAAAGGATGTTTTACAGTCACCCTCTAGCTCGTAGTGGCCCTGACTTCCTGGAAACCTTTCTCTTTCCTTTCAGTCATCCACATCCACCCATCTTCCAGGCACCAGCTCAAATCGCAGTTCTTTTTTTTTTTTTTTTAGTGGTACTGGGGGCTGAATCAGGACCTCATGCTTGCTAAGACAGGCACACCCCTAGCCCTTTTGCTTTGGTTATTTTTGAGATGGAGTCTTACCTTATGCCCGGTCATCCTGTACTTTGATCCTCCTGTTTGTGCCTCTCTGTATAGCTGAGGTGGCAGGTATACATCACTGGTTGAGATGGGGTCTCAGGTACCTTTTGCCCTGACTGGCCTGGAACCTGATCTCTACCTCCCAAGTAGCTAGAGTCACTTCCCTGCTTAAATCTCAGTTCTTATTCTCAGTACCAAATGGCTGCCCTTCAGCACCTCCCTTGGCTGCTCCAACTTTAATTTTTGACCCTGTAGAGCAGTTACAATTTGATTTCTCCTGCTGTTAATCTTAAACTGTTTTTAAACATGTATTTGATTTAAATATATTTCATTTTCCACACACTTAAAGAAAAAACAAAACTTCCCATTCAGTTGTATAAAAATCCCTGGAGGCAGGAACCTTGACATCTCTGTCTTTGTATTCTATCCCAGAGGCCTGGGTATCACTGGCCATTCTTATTGTTTAATTATCTTTAATAAGAGGTCATAGGGGACTGGCAAAATGGCTCAAGTGGCAGAGTACCTGCCTAGCAAGTATGAGGCCCTGAGCTCAAACCCCAGTGCTGGCAAAAAAAAAAGTCATAGGATTGGCTAGAGGTTTTTGCTCTCTTTGCTTTAAGACAATAGTAAAGGATACCAATCACTTTTTCTTTTCTTTCTTCATTTTTAATATGTACTCACTGAAGAAGCCTGCTAATTAGCTAATTTTTAATAAAGGGAGAGTTTTACAAGGTATAGGATCTTGTTGAATTTTAAAACATTATAACAGGGCTGGAGGTATGGCTCAAGTGGCAGAATGCCTTTCTAGCGAGTGCAAACCCCTGAGTTCCAACCCCAGTACTACGAAAAAAAGAAAAAAACAACAACATTATAACAATCAAATCTCTGCACCTAGGATTTGTGTGCTTTCCTAGTTGCATGATAAAATAAAATAAAGCAGCTTTGCGGAATCTGCTTTGTTTTATCAATAACCACAAAAGACTGAAAACAGAACTGGATTCTCCTCCCCTCCAGCCACCCCTATCTGCTGTTTCCACAGTGACAAGGAAGAAGTCATGGGGACAGCCAAGTGTTTTTTTATCATCTAGTACCTCTTGATGAACAGCTAAATTCCTCTGATTTTCAGTGTCTGTTTCTATCTCTTGCCCTTCCTGTGCAGGCCTATCATGACCCCATGCTGAAGCTCTCCATCATGACAGAACAAGAGCTGAATCAAATTTTTGGAACACTGGACTCTCTAATTCCTCTACATGAAGGTATAATTTTGTTTCCAGAACAAGTCATGACTTATAGCCTTAATTGAGTTGTCTTATAGTAAGTTAGTGATTATGCAATAATGTGAATAACTCAGGATCTACTTCCACTCCTGTTCATATTTGAATGCTAACAAAATAAGCATTCTGTTTGTTTTTTGCCAGAGCTCCTTAGTCAGCTTCGAGATGTTCGGAAGCCCGATGGCTCAACTGAACACGTCGGCCCTATCCTTGTGGGCTGGGTAAGAAAAGTTCTCTGATCTTTGTTGAAGATGGAGGTTTTCTAATTGAACTCTGGGTCTCATGCTTGAAAATAGAGTTTAATAATTTACATGGAGTTTCATTTTAGCTCAACCTTTTTTATTTTTGGCTAGACTTTTCTTATTGGCAAATATTGGTTTGACATCAAAAAAAGATCAAGTTTCTAGTAATTTGTAATTACACTCAGGCTTTATCTCTTCAGGGCATGTAGGCATTTTTTTCTTATTAAAGGTTTACTACATTTAAAGACAACGTGGCATATTCACAATAAAATATGTAAAGGTACATGTGAATCTATTATTAGTTTCACATCAAATAAAATAAAGCTAGGTAATAATTGAATTCAGGGCAATTACTAGTATATTTATTACTATTTTTAGTTCAGTAAAAATTGATCAATATATTCTTGTACATCATAAAACAATAAAAGCTTTTTAGACTATTAAGGAAAAAATTCTCATGTTGCCAGGCACTGGTGACTCATGCCTGTAATCCCAGCTACTCGAGAGGCAGAGGTCAGGAGAATCATGGTTCAAAGCCAGCCTAGACAAATAGTTCTCAGACCCTATCTCAAAAAAACCCATCACAAAAAAGGGCTGGCAGAGTGTAGGCCCTGAGTTCAATCCCCAGTACCACAAAAAACAAAAAGAAAAAAAGAAAGAAAAGAAGAGAAGGGAGGGAGGGAGGAAGGAAGGAAAGAAGGAAAGAAAAGAAAGAAAAAGAAAATACCCAACA